TGGAGATATGGAACTAGATCTGGACTTTAGCAGGTCAGGAGACCCTTATGACAAGCTTTATGTCCATTCTTTTGAGTTAGAAGCTAAACTTGCCATATTAGAGGTTGTTTCTTCAAAATAAGCCTTGTATGCATTGCATGGCAACCAAGACCGAGACTTTACGTGACAAATAAGCTTGGGAAGGCCAGATCTATGTATGTATGGAACGGATCTGACCGCAAAAGCCAGTTTTAGCTGGTGCATGGCATGGACTCGCCGAGTCTGAAGAACAGACTCGACGAGTCGCTTGAAGATTGTCCTTGAGACCATCCTGTGTGTAGTCCGGACCGAGTTGAGGGCGACTCAGTGAGTCGCAGAGAGTTGGAAAGGTTTTGACAGGTGGACCGAGTCAGGTTGGGACTCGCCGAGTTGACCTTCGACTCGGCGAGTTGAGTCGCGGTGGCCCTGTGATTCAGGCCCAGGGGGAACTCGTCGAGTCGGGGGAGTACTCGACGAGTCAAAAGGGAAAAACCTTGATAGTTGATTAAAATGCGTAGACTCGCCGAGTCACTAGTGTGCACTCGCCGAGTCCGGTCCAAATTGATTAAAGACGATTGACCAAGTCAACCTGTGTTGACTTGATAAGGATGGCCCACCTTTGTGGTACAAGTAATAATTATAGATTTATAATATCATAGGAGGATTGCAGCTCGAGGGTTCGAGCTCGAGTGATTTCAGGATTCACGATTAGCGACTTAGCGAGGCATACGAGGTGAGTCTTCTCACTATACTGTACCCGGAAGGGTTTTGACTGTGTGACCGGAAGGTCGAATATGATATGAGATATATGCCTTATGTGTGTTAAGTTATTTGTTATATGTGCCATGTATGATATGTTTGATTTGGGCCGGAAGGCAACATGATATGGGCCGGAAGGCGTGGTCATATGGACTGTAAGGTTGACGTGGGTAGGACCGGAAGGTTTACCCAGTCGGGACGGAAGTCCCCTGAGACACAAGGACCGGAAGGTCAAGGCCTGGAAAGGCGTATGTGCGTATGTTGTATTTTGGGGAACTCACTAAGCTTTATGCTTACAGTTGTTGTATTATGTGTTTCAGGTACTAGTGAGGACCGTGGGAAGGCGCCAGCGTGACCGTACACACACTCGGGGAAACTATTTTGTTATCTTTTGTTATGTAATCGGTTGTGACTACATTGTTACTTTGGAATCTAAACTTATTACTCATGTTTTGATGGTTGTAAAAATGAAAATTTTTGGTTGGAAATTTTATGACGTTACAAGTTGGTATCAGAGCCTTGGTTTGAGGGATTCGGGTACACCTTCGGGTGTAACTGAACTCAAACCGGGGATTTGAGAAAATTTTTAAAAAAATAATAATAAATTTTTAATAAGTGAGACGACCAAAGAAGAAAAAGTGTGTACGGTCAGCCTGCGCCCGAACGGTAAAGATCTCCAAAATACTCTTACAATATGTGTTATGAGACATGTTATGATATGATACGCATGCTAGTGGACTAGGTATACATATTAGGACTAGAGTGGCCTGATTTTGTGATGCCTTAGTCTAGGGAAACCTGTTTCTATGAGGTGCTCGAGAGCGAGTGGGTAACTAGTGTATGACAAGAATAGAGTGCTCAGGATCCGGGGTTTGGGGAGGAGGACTTGGGGTGAATACCGACGCGGTGTAATTGGTAGTATTGGGCCCGTACTACCAAGGACACCGGGTCAGTGGGCAGCCCAAGTAAGAATCCCTGAGTATCGGAAACTGAGCGGGACTGCGTTATCGAGTGCGATTATGCCGGTAGAGTCTCTGATATTTTTATGTTGTATTTCAGAGACATCATGGTTGGACCACGACACAGACTTGGTACGAGTGGAGTGACTGACGAGGAGCTTCGTCAGATGATTCATGAGGAGGTAGCTGCAGCGATCCGGGCCGAGATTCCGGAGATGTTTGGGTCTATTAAGACCACGCTGATGGAGACGTTTGATGAGCGGTACGCCGCGTTGACTGAGGCTGCCGCCGCTGCAGCTACCGCAGCTGTGGCCGCTGCCAGACCACAGGGGGGTGACTCGTTGCTGTTCCGGGAGTTCAGCAACACGAAGCCACCAGAGTTTGACGGGACGCAGGATCCGATTGCTGCGATGAGATGGATTGCTGATATCGAGGGATGCTTCTATACTTGTTCATGTCCGGAGCATCTGAGGGTACGGTTCGCCTTGAACCAGCTCCGCCTGGGAGCAAAGGATTGGTGGAAGTTCGTGACGGCGAACTTCACTCTTGCGGAGGTTTCAGCCGTGACTTGGGAGAGATTCACTGCTATGTTCAGAGACGAGTATGTTCCCCCGGTGGAGAGGGAACGGTTGGTTCAGGAGTTCTTGACCCTCAAGCAGGGTAATGATTCGGTTACGGTGATCACGCGGAAGTTTCATGAGAGGGCGATGTTCTGCCCCGAGCAGGTGTCCACGGAGCAGGCTCGGATGAGCCGGTATTTGGGAGTGCTGAGGAGAGATATCCGGGAGTTCGTATCGAACTCGTCATATCAGACTTTTGCGGAGCTTCAGGCGAATGCCAGGAAGCGTGAGATCGAGTTGGAGACCCAGGCCAGGGAGGAGGCCGAGTCTCAACGGGTGGATCGGCGGCCGGCTCAGTCTCAGCCGGCAGCCAAGCGGACCAAGTCCGCTGATTTGAGATCCGGAGGTCAGAAGAGCCGCACTTGTGGGAAGTGCGGCAAGGGTCACGAGGGGGCATGTCGATCGGGTCTTGCTACAAGTGTGGCAAGGAGGGGCACATTGCGAGGGATTGCCCCAAGGGATTCATGGTTTGCTTCCATTGCAACCAGACTGGCCATCGGAAGGCCGAGTGCCCCCAGCTTCGTCAGGGATCTTCGCCTGCTGCCAGGGTTCCTGAGGTTCGGCCAGTGAAGACCGAGGCTCCGAAGGCTCGTGGGAGAGCTTTCCAGTTGACTGCGGAGGAGGTCCGCGCGGCGCCTGATGTCGTGGCCGGTATGTATTCTTTCATGTATTTACATTTATGCTGAGATATTATGCTTATATTACTATCTGCGTAGGTACTTTTCTTGTGAATCATGTGCCTGCTTTGGTATTATTCGACTCGGGTGCGAGTCGGTCCTTTGTTTCGTTGGCTTTTAGCCAGCACATCGATATCGATCGGGAGACGATGAGTCGTCCCTGCGAGTTGCTATAGCGGATGAGAGAGCGGTATACGCCACCGAGGTGATTCGAGGATGCGTGCTCGAGATTTTTGGGGTCGAGTTTCCTATAGACTTGGTCCCTATAGCTATGGGGATGTTTGCATTTATCGTGGGCATGGATTGGTTGAGCAAGTTTGGAGCAGTCATTGACTGCGAGAGACAGCTGGTGATGATTCGAGACCCTAGTGGGGGAGTGCTCACGGTTTATGGCGAGGGGACCCGGTGTGGGTCGGCGTTTTGTTCGGCGGCCAGGGCGAGGCAGAGTTTGCAGCAGGGCTGTGATGGATTCATAGCCTATGTGATGGATACTCGAGTGACCGCGGAGAGGCCCAATTCGATTGATGACGTTCCGGTCGTATGCGAGTTTTCGGATGTGTTCCCCGAAGAGTTACCAGGTGTGCCTCCGGAGAGGCAAGTGGAGTTTCGTATCGATTTGGTTCCGGGAGCGGCGCCCATCGCCAAGGCGCCTTATCGTCTCGCTCCGCCGGAAATGCAGGAATTATCCTCGCAGCTTCAGGAGCTGTTGGGAAAGGGATTCATTCGACCGAGTAGCTCGCCTTGGGGAGCGCCGATTTTGTTCGTCAAGAAAAAGGATGGTTCCCATCGGATGTGTATCGATTATCGGGAGTTGAACAAGTTGACGGTTAAGAACCGATATCCGTTACCTAGGATCGACGATCTGTTCGATCAGTTGCAGGGGGCCTCTTGGTTTTCCAAGATTGACTTGAGGTCGGGATATCATCAGATGAGGGTTCGCGAGGAGGATATCCAAAAGACTGCTTTCAGGACTCGTTATGGGCACTATGAGTTTGTGGTGATGCCTTTTGGGCTCACCAATGCCCCGGCCGCGTTCATGGATCTCATGAACCGGGTGTGCCGACCGATGCTGGATCGGTCGGTGATCGTATTCATCGATGATATTTTAGTGTATTCGAGGACTAGGGACCAGCATGAGGAACATTTGCGGGAGATTCTTGGGGTTTTGAGATCGGAGAGACTGTATGCCAAGTTCTCCAAGTGTGATTTCTGGTTACGAGAGGTCCAGTTCCTCGGGCACCTTGTGAACCAGAAAGGGATATTGGTCGACCCGGCCAAGATTGAGGCGGTGTTGAGGTGGGAGGTGCCGAGATCGCCCACCA